GTGGAATGTGGAATAGTATGGAATGATTTAGACTCTTTCGTGATTGATGAAATTATAAGTGCCGTTATTGCGAGATGCGGAGTATCGTTGTACGAATACTCATTATTTTGAGGCTCTGCGAGTTTGATAGGGATTTAAGATATTGTCGAGGCCACATAGGAAGGCGAACCGAAAACCGTGTGCGCAGTACAAAGAGAAATTTCGCTGTCAATTGTGAGAAGGCATCGCGCGCTGAAATCATATCGAGCCGCTAATGATTATACAACCATCGCTTAAAGGCAGTGGCTAGGCGAATCCAGGTAACGGCACAGATCGACCAGAGGTAGGCTAAACTTCATTTCTGCGACAAAAAGCAAAGAGTACATCGTGAAACATGCTATGCATGCATGGGACCAACATTCAGACGAACACAGGAAACTAAAAACAAGTTATTACATGAGGCATGCTCCGTCGTGTCTTGCGAAAAGCGCGCGCGATAATACCAGACTGTTTACACGGCTTGCTCAACCTAAACGGATTGATATGACACCATGATTAGGCTGCGTGCATAGAATTTTATTTGGGAAAAACTGTATAAGAAGTTTTGGGAACTTTTATGAAGTAACACCTTTTCAAAAGTAGTCCGTCTCCAGACAGACCATGCGAAGTGAGATCATACAGAGAAAATATTTCTGTAAGTTCACATAAGTTTTTGATTTTCTTCATGTGGATGGATTCCCCGGTCAGGAAACTATCTATAAGGAAAACGACATTTTCATATCATTGCCTTTCCTCCGTTTTTTGCTTTCATTTTGTTAGTGAAACAGCCATCATGACTATCGCGCCCAAGGCAAAATTCTTGCGTGTCCGCAGACTGCCGCGCCCCTGTTGTTTTTTCTTTATTTTAGATCCAGTCCTAATGGTACAGTCTTTTTCAACCGGAGTAGGCGAAACATTCCAAGTAGAGCAGCGCGCCCGCACCGCCATTGGCTCAGCGAAACAGATCAAAATGAAGAGACGCAGACTGCAAAACGGCGGAAAAATCGTTGCGATGCGGACTCCCCCCAGTCCAATATCTGCCTAAACTGACGTGTAAACATGACTACGTGAAATCGATCGATCTTTGATAAGGGTTAAAGGGGCTTCGTTGAATTTTCGAAAGACAGGGGATATCCCGTTTTCGGTAAAGCAGAATGCGATTTGTGCCAGGTCTTGGATCCCTGCTAACAGGGTTTATCTGACGAAATCTATCCTGAAGAACGCAAAAATGGCGAAAGAGAGCATTTGCAAAGCCCTCAATTTTAATTTGAAGACTAACAGCTCTCGCTAACGTTGGAGAAGCAGATTCATTGCAGTATCCTCATTATAACATCGTTGCGTACGCCTCCAACGGCCGGATTGGATATCGCGTGCTCGTCTGAGCGCGCAGAATGTGTGTGTGCACGGGTATGAGGGCGTTTTCTTCTGCCGAGGGACATGCTGCGCGGCCGAAATTGCTCTGTTTTCATACTCAGGAGTTAAAGGCAGTGTCCAGGCAATCTGGTCGCATGGCTCGCCTGGAAATTGATGAGGGGGTCCTAACTAAGGCACTGCCCAAGGGGGGGGCAGCGCAAATTTTCCAGTCAATTGCTGAGAAATACGTGCCCGATAATCCCGCGCCTGCGCCATGAACGTAACCCAAGAACGACTTCGCTCGCTTTAACACTACGTTCGCGCTGGGACCAATCCTAAGAGTTAGGTCACGGCGCAGCCGTGAGTATTTGTGGATGGATTTCTCAGCCGTGAATGGATTATTTGTGCTGCTGTTTGGGCAGTGCCTTAGCTGGAGCCTCCTCCACAGTTTCCAGACAAAAAACCCATGTGCCCAGATTTGCCTGGACACTGTCTTTAAGCAGCCCATCACATCAAAATTCCAGCTTGTCCTGTTTTGCCGATCTACTGCCTATATTGTCTAATTTGATACAGATGTTTCGTAGTCACTGCCACATCCCTTGAGCTGTACACACGATTTTTTGGTTGACAAAAAAGTAGAAAAAGTTAAACGTCTTTTGTATGCTTGTAGAAGAGAGGAGCATAAAATGATTTTGAGGCCACATTTTGTGAATGTTAGGAGGCGTCCTTCTTTCAAGGTTTCATGGCAAATTTTGAAAGAATTTGTTAGCTGACCTTTTCTACTTAACTAGGAGCATATTTTCTTTTCCGCACTCTGTAGTACAAAGACCAATTATCTATACAACTCTTCTTTCTCAACCATTATATTGTCTCATAAGTTTTTTTAATTTTGACTTTTTACGGCAATAACTCAAGCATTTCTCAGTTTTAATCAAGGTGCAGGGTACCGTTCTATAGAGCAAAGCAAGCTCTACAAGATGGCTTGTAAGTGTTCGCACCAGATTCAGCACATCACGAGCTAGAAGCCGATTTGAAAACTTTTGAATGCCCAAAAAATTGAGAATTCTCTATAACTTTATCCAAACAAAACTTACCAGATCCAAAACTTGCTCACACATATATACTCCACATAACACATATGTGCCGTTGCTGTGTTTGTTTCTGCTAGCAACTGAAAAAACTAGGATTTTTAGGCTTTCAAAAAAGCGAAACTGCGTTGTTTTCACACAAATAAATGTATACTATTAGCCCTCACGTAATACATCGATAAAGTTTCAGCTTCTTGGAAGCGTTAGTTCTTGAGAAATATCGAATTTAGCTGTTTTTGGTAAGGTATTTTATGTTGAAACTGATATTTTTCGGGAAATAGACCTCATAGAAAGCTGGATTCTACAGGCCTGTAGTATACATTTACCTGTGCGAAAAAAGCGTAGCATCGCTTTTTTGGAAGCTTGAAAATTTTGGTTTTCTACGTTTCTAGCACAGGAACCAATACAGCAACGCACATATGAATGTATTGTGTGGAATGTATATGCGTGAGCGAGTTTGGAATCTGGTAAGTTTTTCAAGGAAAAAGTATAGCAAATTTATAGTTTTTTTGCATCCGAAAATTCTCAGATTTTGGCTTCTAACTCTCGATGTGCTGAATCTGATGCGAACACTTACAGGCCATCTTGTAGAACTTGCTTTGCTTCATTGAATGGTACCCTGCATCTCAATCAAAATTGAGAAGTGCTTGACTTATTGCGGTAAAAAGTCAAAATTGAAGAAACTTATGAAACCTAATATTTTCCATACATTTAAGCTTCGCAAACCTTTTAAGAAAACTGCGAAAACCATGTGAGATAACGGAATTGCTCACTTCTTTTGGGGTTAAGAAAATGGAAAAGGAAGTTGCGTAAAATAAGGCGCCTAACTCTCGCAACTACTTCCACATTTTTGCATGTAGCAAAAAATTGGTGGATCGAGTTTACGGTTTGTAAGCAAAAGCAAAGCCTTTTACAACCCAGATCAAATACATCGAGACGGAACCGTAAGCCATGTGTTGCTAAACGTTGAAGGCAGTGGCTTGACAAATCCTCGACCAAAAGTTTTTTTGCTTACCTGCGCGCTGACGAAACTTTAGGAAGAACGAAAATGGCAAAAAAACCGCTTTCTCAAGACGCCCCTTTTGATTCTGGACGAGTGCAACAGTTCTCGCATGGCTGAAAAGGCAGAGTCGTTGCGGGAACTTTTTGGTCATAACCTTGTGTCATGTCCCTTCCGAGATGGAAGGAAAATCGCAGAGCTATTCCAAGCGCATATAAGCATGTTTTGCGCGCACGGGTTTGAAAGCAATTTCCTGGCGCGGCAGCATGCTGCGCGCTCAAAGTTTTTCCGATTTGGGTGGAGGACTCTGTGTCGCTGAATGTGGAAGGGTTCCGCGCGGATTTCTTGCAGGAACGCATTTCCGTGCCTATGCGAGGGTGCGTATTTGTTGCAAAAACCGCGGGGACCGCCCCCTTTTCGGCGACATATGGTCTTCTACCCCTCCGATTTCATATTTGAGGTGTAAGCATTATATTACCATATCATTTCGATGTTCGGTTTTGCCGAGCCAATGGCTTTGAAGACAGCGCCCGCCCAAGACCATGCACCCCAGATCACTACTTTGTTCATGAATAGACCCCGTAGATCAACTGCATTGATCCGGTCCTTCAATGTTGCCTACAAAAGGAAAAACGGACCTGGATTCTTTTTGCACTCCGCCACTCTTTCCGCGCTCCATCCACCTACCCACTCAGACAATCGCCAGGGACAGGCGTGCTTCGGAAAATACGCGTTGTTGAAAGTTTGCATTCCGCTCGCAAATTCCAGGAGAATGGTCAGCAGGTTTTTGATAGACCGCCTGTTAGATTTTTTTTCGCTCTTATCTTTTGCAGATATATTGCTGAATATCTGAAGAATCGCAAACTCAGCAAGCGGCCTTCTGAAAAGTCTTGATTGCTTTCTAAAAAATCCGCGAGCGGGGTGCGAGAAATCAACCATCTATTTTTCCGCCCGCCTGCTCCCGGCGATTGTCTGAGCATGTGGCCGAAATTTTGGGTAGACGCTGCCGTTAAACTCAGTAAAACAAAAAAAAAACAAAAAACTGGAGTTCAAATACATTTTTAGATTTGTACCGCGTCACATTGAAGGGGTCCGACAATAAGTGAGAGCGAAACTCAAGAATTTGCTGGGACTGCTCACTTGGATAGTACGACATGCTAAACACGGAATGTACCTAGGCAAAGGGCGTTCTTTAATGTTGAATAGGTGTATTTTGTGTGAACAGCAAGTCGAGTAATTCCCCCTTCCCCTCGAGCATTTTCAGCAAAATCTGGAGCGTTTTGATCTCCATACGGTGAATCTGCCGTAATCCTTACATGTAATGGCGGAACTTGGCGGAAATACACCTACACATACACATACAAATACGGTTTTTTTTTGAATTTTTGAAAAATTCTAAAAATTACTTCAATTAGTTACAAAAATATACAAATCATTTGCACATTTGCATAACCTATGTAAGTAAATTTTATTTTCGCGACCCATTCTCGGGGATACGCGTCCCACCTCCATACTGTTCCCCTTTTTGCCACTTTTACCGCATGAGCATAATATTCAGAACCGTCTTAAACTTCGGATTGGGTCAGGAAGCAGTTGTAGAAGGCGGGAAGATCATTCGCAACCAAACTGATGGGTATGTAATCAGAGGAGGTAAAGTTTCTGGCACGGCTCCTAATGCAATAGGTATGTTGTAGAAATCCTTCTTATTTTCCTATTTTTATGATACAAACACTGCAATTTTCAGCTTCAGTGCAGAGTCTGTTGAATCAAAATACTCAGAAACTGATTACCAACATTTTGGAAAATTCTACGAAGTTTTTGCAGGAACACGGAAAGGAGCTCACGCCTAAACAATTGAATGAGGTCTGAGTTTCTCCTATATGTAGGTAATAAATTATCTTTACGCATTTTAGACTTCAACAAGCGTTCTAAACGTGATTGGCTCCCTTACACAGACAATACATACTACTTTCGAAAACCCGCTGACGGCTGATTTAAAGAAAAATCTCGAAGAAGAAGATTTGAATTTTGACGAAATTTTTAACATCCTGCCTGAAGACGCACGTAATATTGGATAATCTTTTCTTTTGTTGGAGACTAAATGAATTGTTTTAGGTGACATTCGATACGTAGAAAGCTACTCCGATGAAGAGTGGGCGGCTGAAGCAACCAAATTAGTACAAACAAACCTTGTAAGATTGATATATTAGGTTGATGCAAAAGTTCTTTCGCACCAAATTCAAAAATTCATAATTTGTTGAATTCTCAACAAATCTGCAAGTTCTAGATTATGTATAGGAGAGGAACTCATGCTCTTTGCAAATTTACTTGAACTGTTCGTTAATGTGTACAAATGAGGGAGATAGAAGCTCAAAACCAAAATCACTCAAAATTTAAATTTTTCGTGTAGGTTCATAAAAAATCGGAAACTTGCAACAAAAACCGGAGCAGTCAGTATTGTAGGCTCTTTCACAAGCTGTTTCCAACAGTGCAAAGCTTGCGCCGATTGAGCGTTTCTGTGAAAAGTTATGATTTCCCTGAAAAATCCCAAAATAAATCAAATTCGCCCTTTTGTATTGCTTGCTCGAAAATCAACTTTTCACAGAGACGCTCAATCGGCGCAAACTTTGCACTGTTGAAAAGAGCTTGTGGAAGAGCCTACAATACTGACTGCTCCGATTTTTGTTGCAAGTTTCCGATTTTTTATAACCCTACACGAAAAATTCAAATTTTGAGTGTTGGTTCTGAGTTTTTATCTCCCTCGTTTGTACACGTTGACGAACAGTTCGAGTACACTTGCAAAGAGCATGAGTTCCTCTCCTGTACAAGATCTTGCAGATTCGTTGAGAAATCAACAAGATATGGATTTTTGAATTTGGTGCGAAAGAACTTTTGCATCAACCTAATATTATATCTACATAGCAAGTCCATACCTCACTGTAACAGGTCTCAATCTTGCCTGAAAAACAAATTTATTGAAAAAAATATATTTTACGGATTGCTTTCTTTTTACTGCATTCCTTGCACAAACACAGATTGGGGACAGGAATTCGACCAAATGCTCAAGCATATATATCATCTTCTTTTGGGTTTATGTAATTTGCGAAGAGAAAATATCATATTTTGAACTGTACAGTCGAACCCTGATTGCTCTGAAGGCAAACATTCTAAAGGAGTCTGCATGGGACTGGCCATGCGGGGCGCCAACTGCTAAAATTGAGAATTAGAGCGACTCTTTGCTAGATAGCAGCTTTGCACCGAGAATTATTCCAATTTAAAGCAATGGGTTGGTGTGACTTGCATGCTAGAAAAGGGATAACAAAATTATTTTTCTTGGAAAATGACGTTTTTCAAAATTCTATCCCTGTGCGACTTCATGCGAGTTTGAGGCCTGTCACAAAATGATTGATGAACTACTGCTAGACAAAGGAATTCACATCCTTGCAATTAACTGGGGGCGCTGTTGTTCTTAGAACCGGGGGGGGGGGGACTTTTCATACGATCGGGGACTTCGCACCTAGCCTTCGCAACTACCTCACACCTACATCGCACCTCTCGATCCACGTAATGAGTAAGATTCTCCACTACGCCTAGGTGAGGGGGGAGGGGGGGGGGGACCTTTCATTCTCCACTACGCCTAGGTGAGAGGTGGGGGAGGGGGACCTATAGTATACTAGACACGGAGGTGCGAGACTTGATACTTAGCCGTAGGTGTTCACACCTCGCACCTCGGAACTGCTCATCGTATGAAAAGTCACTCACCCCTTAGAACCGCATTAAAAATGACAAGTATTGTCGTTTCGAAGACCTCGCACCGAGGTAGCCAACAAAAGCTGCTAATGATCCGCTATCGTAAAACGCAAACTTCTTCTACTTCTAAGATATAAGGTCGCATTTTGGGTTCAGATGAAAGCTACTGAACTCATGAGTCACGCAAGATATGCAGGGTGTCCCAAAAATTGTATCGTACGTTTGATTTTCAATGACTTTCCATTATGAGCAACTTCCGCAGTCATTCGAACGCCACATTGTAGAGCTGGCTTCAGTCGTTAACAGCATCAAGATTACCGATTGCTCTACCCTTTGTTGGATTACGTTAGGAACTTTGAAGAAAATTAGGGCACTATTTTGGCTCAGGAAAAACATTGCAACCTAAGGCTCCGGTCAGACTTCACGCGACTTAATCGTCGCGATCTAATCGCCAAGATTTCCATTCATTTTCATTTCACATTCAAAAATGTCGGGCTGGAAAAGTATCACAACCGAATGCAAGTTGATCGGCATGGAATGATGTTGTAACAGTTGTCTCGTCGCGACTCAGTCGCGACGTAAAATCGCGTGAAGTCTTTCCGGGGCCTAACGCTTCACCTTAAAGTTGCTAGCTAAAAATGAAATTTGTACTTCACGTATCGCTTATTTCATAAATTATGCCTAACCATAACGTCTTCTCAATGTTCCTTCATGCGCCTATGCGTTTGAGAAGCCTCGAAAAGCATGAAAAAAGATAATCGGTTCAGTTCTTTTCATTCAGTTCAATGCATTCTTGGAAACCTAGTACACAGCATTTCAGATATTGCAGTTTATTTTGAAGCGGCGGCTAATTACAATGGCAACATTCATCAATTTGCATGTTATATGCCTGCAAATTTGCTTAGTGAAGCTAATGCTCTAATAAAAATTAATAAGTTAATGGAGGCATTTTAACCATGGCCTCGTATGGGTCTCACCAATCTGCGCGGCTACGCGGCGTAAGCAGCTTCACAGCATACGCACACGTGCATAAAGATACGAAGCGTAGGCAGCGGAGTAGCATGAGATTGCAATTGATGGTGACACATAGCACTTACGTGATTTAGCTTTATGTAGTAAACATGATTTCTTGGGTGGAGGTTTTCTGGATAATGTAGCGCATAAGCTGCGTCCACATAACAATCGACAGAAAATCATGCGATGGCTCTCCTTTAGCTGTTGCTGGAATTATGCAAGGTCTAGAAGCCGTTCATTCACCATAAGCCTACAGTAGCATCTTAGAAAGCAAATTTGGCATTAGTCTATGATCGGCAAGGTATATAGCCTACTCGAGTTGGTTACGCGTTGATCTGAGATCTTCAATTATATTGCGAGGATGGGTTTTTTAAAGGTGCAACTGGGGGGCATGCGGAAGGTGACAAAATGCGCGCAAAATGCAGGCAGTGTAAAATCGCTCTTGTAACTTTTATAGGATTTTACTTGTGGCTTCGAGTCATGTATCTGCCCCCACCCCTCAGCCCCCTACCTTGGCGTCGTGTCACTTTAGCACCGAGGAGTTGTGTAAGGCACAAAATTTGGGATTGTCGCCTTCCGCACCACACCCGGTGGAACTCAATGTAGAGAGAGAGAGAGAGAGCGAAAGAGAGCGAAAGAAAGAAAGAGCTCATAGGCATTATTCGATACCGCACTTTCCTTTTGCTAGCAGTGGAAGCGCTGGTACACCTTCAATGCAAGGGCGAAAAAAGCTAGCAAACTCCCAACAAAATTTTGTTTACTAAAAATATACCTACCATAGCTCTACAGTAAGAATCTATTTCGCGAATCATTAGTGATTTTTGTGGTCAACAGGTCGGACAATCCCCATATCTGAATTTTCCGAAGATTTAGTGATTCATTTCCTCGTCTATCTCGCTCTTGAGTTCGCAACACGTTTTGGCTGAATTAGTGATGTGATGATTATGGATTGATCGGAAACTCCCACAAGGTTTTCGAATTCAGAAATTCGAAAAAAAATTCGAAACTTCTAACTATCATTTTGCACTATTGGGTTTCACTGCAAAATTATAGTGAGACAGATAAAACTCGCCCGCATTTTTCGCCCACTTGTTAGAGAATTAGCTCGCTCTGTGAGCAGCTCTATCAAATCAAGCTCCAGAACCTTATCTGTACCATTTGCCAAATGATGAGCTTACGAAGTCGCATTCTCAGTAAATTGCCTTGTTTTGAAAATCATGCATTTTGGCGTAATCTCGTCACGAGCGCGTGTGTAGACAGACGAAATGACATGTAGAGTTGAAAGTACGTGTGTATGAGGTTGAGCGCTATTCATCGTCTGTGACTAGCGCTTGTAAAGCTTTCTAGTCACCCAAGTGGTGTAAAGCAAGGCGCGTCATTTGGGTCTCACACAGTCTTACATGGTCTAAATCTGCTATGAAAGCAATCTAACTTCCACGCCGATGACATTGTGACTTCATCTTATACAAAGAGCTATAGCTGTCTGTCTATTTGTCTGTCAATTGTACAATATGAAGTAGGGAATTCCATTTTTTGACCGGTTAGGACCAAACTTTGCACACATCACTTCGTGGCGTGGCGAGTGTCAGAGACTACCTTTTACAATTAGAACCGAATATTTTTCGAATGTTCGTGTTCGAATGATTTATTCACACTAGAAAAGTCGAATATTCAGGAAAATGCATTGTTTGGTTATTCGAATAATCGAATAAAGAAGACTTTTATGCGAATATTTGCTTATTCGGCGAATCGAGAAAACAACTTATTAGAAATTTTATTCGAAAATTCGAATATTCGAATAAAATTTCACTGTTGTTTTCGCGATTCGCCGAATAAACAAATATTTGCATAAGTCTTTATCATTTATTCGACTATTCGAATAAACAGATTAAATGCACTTTCCTGGATATTCGACTTTTCTAGTTCGAACAAATTATACGAATACGATTATTCGGGAAGTACTCGGTTCTAACTATACTACCTTTGGTTATCTATTGATATCGGTGTGAACTATTTCTCCAAATTTTAAGCTAAAGGCTCGTAGTTGGCATAGAGATGCAAGCGAGATGGGTAAATGCGAATAGAATATTCAGCTGTGAAATCAACGAATTCCTTTATCTAATTTTATTACAATTTTCGTCTGCAATATCAGCTATTCTCTTAAACTAATTTTATCGATTTTTGTTGAGTTGGGAAAGCGCTGAGATTTGGTGAAGAGGTGAACATGTAGATTACGTATGGTCGGGGGAGGGAACTGCATGTGTAGAACAGGGACAGCGAAGTATAGGGTAAAAGTAGAAAATGGGATTTTATCACGGTCAACATGACTAGGGAATGGCTGGTATAACTGCTAGTTTCGAATTAATAGAATGACGGCTGGAATAGTCACGGGTAATGAAAGCCATCCCTGCGTTAATGCCCATTCCCCTTACAATGAAACCCTTACGAGCAAAGTAAAGGTGTGAGAGCTCTCTTTCTACATGAAGCATTGGGTTGCACCTTTACGAAGAATCGTCTGCGGGACATAGTTGAAGATCTCAGATCACGCGTGACTCATCGAGCAGGCAAGACAATACACCGATAACAGTGACTTTGCATTTCCAAGATTCAACATTATTCCTGCTTTCAGAGAGAAGCCTCCAGATGATTTTTTCTTGAATGGACACAGCTCCAAAGATGCTTACTAGAGCTTTATTTACAACTAGCTGGCAAACCGGCTCCGCCCGCATGACCCAAGACAAACAGATACTCGTTATCTATACAGATGCGCGTTGCGTTATACTACCACAAAAACACGTCCATTTGAAAAATTTGTTCTATAAAAAGCTAACCATTAAGTGCTGTGCATCAACATCAAGTGCACTCTAGGCTCCGTCCAGAGCCCTCTTGTGCCGACGCCGGGACTTCACCGGACATCGCCGGCTAGCACACTGCTGTCTCCGACGACGCTCCGCGGGGGTCCCAATAGAAACATCGATCAATACGCGTGCGTCTACCAGTTCTAGGAAGGCCAAATTGGTTTTAATGCCTGAGTTTGAGGTACGACTTGAGGTGAGGTACAGCTTGAGGTCACGATAAAAATCAAGCACCATCATGAAAACGAGCAAGTCGAATTAACAGTAGGCAATGTTGTAAACCGGTTGAGATTTTAACCTATACAATAGACAAAAACGTTTTTTCCTAAAACCGCGTCTACCGATCCAACCCAGATCAACGCTCCTTTGGCAGTACGCTGGAGCGCCGTAACGTCAACTTAGGCCCGTCTTAGTCAAGTTGGAATGACGGAGTTTACTACGGGCCAAAATCATGTAAAGTACGGCAATTACATGGCTTGAAGTGTAACCTTGAGGGGGATAGCGCCTGTGATTCGGTCAACTTGCCTACAATGGCGCAAGATTAAGAGCAAAGTATGTAGATAAAATGCAACTCGTAACGTCGATCAGTATGCCTAAGCATCTAACTTGTAGGAAAAGTGATACATATGTGGAGAGTGCCAACTATTTCGCCACAACTTGCTAAATTTGCAAAATTATCGCTAGCCCTAAAGGGTAATTTGCTTTCAGGGCAAGAGAATGGCAGCCCAAATGCAATCGCTAATGCATACTCTTGAAGATGCTTATGCCAACCAAGCTATTGAAAACAATAATTTGCCGTACAGACATTCGGTAAGTGTCCTAGAAACCAATGTATTACGTCTATGCACTTATGGCTTCAATGCCTTCCCTCTCTGTCTCGTTTTTCTGATTTTATTGATAATTTCGCATGTGATAGAGACTGGGAACAGAATTTCTCGTAGTCCAAACTTCTAATGATTTTAACTTAGAAAGTCGTAAATCTTATTATAAAGCTGTGTGTGTGTGTGTGTGTGTGTGTGTGTGTGTGTGTGTATGTGTGTGTGTGTGTGTGTGTGTGTGTGTGTGTGTGTGTGTGTGTGTGTGTGTGTGTGTGTGTGTGTGTGTGTGTGTGTGTGTGTGTGTGTGTGTGTGTGTGTGTGTGTGTGTGTGTGTGTGTGTGTGTGTGTGTGTGTGTGTGTGTGTGTGTGTGTGTGTGTGTGTGTGTGTGTGTGTGTGTGTGTGTGTGTGTGTGTGTGTGTGTGTGTGTGTGTGTGTGTGTGTGTGTGTGTGTGTGTGTGTGTGTGTGTGTGTGTGTGTGTGTGTGTGTGTGTGTGTGTGTGTGTGTGTGTGTGTGTGTGTGTGTGTGTGTGTGTGTGTGTGTGTGTGTGTGTGTGTGTGTGTGTGTGTGTGTGTGTGTGTGTGTGTGTGTGTGTGTGTGTGTGTGTGTGTGTGTGTGTGTGTGTGTGTGTGTGTGTGTGTGTGTGTGTGTGTGTGTGTGTGTGTGTGTGTGTGTGTGTGTGTGTGTGTGTGTGTGTGTGTGTGTGTGTGTGTGTGTGTGTGTGTGTGTGTGTGTGTGTGTGTGTGTGTGTGTGTGTGTGTGTGTGTGTGTGTGTGTGTGTGTGTGTGTGTGTGTGTGTGTGTGTGTGTGTGTGTGTGTGTGTGTGTGTGTGTGTGTGTGTGTGTGTGTGTGTGTGTGTGTGTGTGTGTGTGTGTGTGTGTGTGTGTGTGTGTGTGTGTGTGTGTGTGTGTGTGTGTGTGTGTGTGTGTGTGTGTGTGTGTGTGTGTGTGTGTGTGTGTGTGTGTGTGTGTGTGTGTGTGTGTGTGTGTGTGTGTGTGTGTGTGTGTGTGTGTGTGTGTGTGTGTGTGTGTGTGTGTGTGTGTGTGTGTGTGTGTGTGTGTGTGTGTGTGTGTGTGTGTGTGTGTGTGTGTGTGTGTGTGTGTGTGTGTGTGTGTGTGTGTGTGTGTGTGTGTGTGTGTGTGTGTGTGTGTGTGTGTGTGTGTGATTAGTCCGAGAAAATAAGGGTGGAAGTTAAGCGGTTAATGAACGTTGCGCAGCTTATGAAATGATAGCTTATAATTTCGTTATCTTGGCTTTAGAAAGTACCGCATAATAATTTGTTTTCTCAGTAGGAATGTGAGATCAAAACATCTCAGCATACCCTGTGTAAAGAAAACTGGAAATTACCTTGATTTTTTAATTGACGATAGAATTCGGAAATCTATTGACTGCTAAATTTACAATGCTACGTCTCAGAGTAAGTTAGGCTTCCTTGTATTGGAGGCATTAGAAAATCCGACTATCGAAATAAAATTGAAGAACGACACAACATTACGTGCTGAATTGTTAAGGTTTGCTAACCACAAAAGTTCTTTCTGGCATAGAAGATTATTTCTGTATCTAGTTATAAAACCAAAATCTGGAAGTACTATAAAACATATAAAAGTGGAAGTGTTATAAAACGTCAGCTAATCCTACAGTAATTAATGGTTGATGATTTGCTTCATACTGTGGATCTTGATGATTTGCTTACTGTGGGTTTAAGCTGAAGTCCTCCTGCAAATGGTACGTGAATAGACTTCGTGGAAAGATGGCTGAAACTCATTCTTTTTTGGTCATAACTCATTGTTAACACATACACGCAATGACTGCCATGTGGAACAATGGACCCACATGGTGGGTCATGGCTTAAAATTCGTTAAAATGAATACAATCTTGAGGTGAATTCTTCAGAAGTTCTCTTACGCTCTCATTCTACGGGTTACTACCACATTTCTTTTCTGCTCCTTGAAATTACCGTAGATTCACTGTAGATGACGATCTGCTTAATTTAGCTGAAAATTTCAACTTTATCGTGGAAGGCATTGTTCCACAAGGCAGACAGCTGAAAATGCGTGTTGTCGTCAACGTGTTAATTGTGGACTATGTTTTTCGTCTTCCAAATAAAAAATGCTCTACTTGGAATGAAACAAAGAACTCGCTCAGTTCAAGTGCTATCTTTCTCCGAAATCATAACGGTGCTTCTTAGGTTGTTTCTTGTACCTTAAACCAAAGTAGCCTTGCAATTTCTCCACAGTTTACACTAGCATGGCTCAAGTTGTGACGGTATGACAAACGGTACTAAGTACTAAAGTATCAGATCAAGCTCACCTCAAAAGCTTTTACCGTAGATTGAGCAGGAACCACGACTTAGAAATTTGTACTAGCTGTTTTCTTGAAGGGCAATGTGTTTTCATGACAGCAATGATCTTCCCACAGAAACTTTATTTTTCTTGTGCCAGTATACTCAGACCCTGAACAGCGCGAGTTGTTAATTCGTTAGAAGCGTCTGCCAATTGTGATGAAGGAAGAATTGTGTAATATATATCTCACACTAGCTGGAACACGCTCGCGTGGCACCATATACACTTCAGTTTCAAAAAGCCTAAAGTAATCGTATTTTTCAAGAATGGTTCTTTATTTGTCATTTCGTCTTAGATTACCTCAAAAATCGTCAATTATAAAAGATAGCTCGACTGGATCTATTCAGTTTGTTGTTTGTCTCACCTATCTTGGCTTACCACCACCGCAGCCCACTGAATTTTTCTGATACTTCGTTTTCGATATTACATCTTAATTTCAATAGAATGACTTGCACTGAATAATTTCGACTAGCTGGCTTATCCGGCCGCTCGGCCCTGTCTAAAAACTATGATAAAGGTACCATTCCTATCCCTGCGCAACCTTCCCCTGTGCCCACTTCTACTCAGATAATCGTCGGGGGCAAGCGGCCATGCGAATTTTGAGCAAGCGGGCACCGGAAAAATAGTTCGCTGATTTTTTGTGGTCCGCTTGCATAAATTTGGAATAATTTTGGCCAATTTTTAGACGAACGCTCGAAGATCTATCGCGGTTTTTCTATACATAAGTTGCGGCACAGTAGCCGCATTCTCGCGGATTTTCCGCGAGAACATGCAAAATTATTGAGAGCCGCACGGTCCTTTTTGAAGGACCGCACAGCCCTCAGGTACTTCCCGCTGAAAGAAAGTACCCCAAACTTGGGTAATAAAACCGTCGATGGCACCTCTGCCACATAGAGTCTCATCTTTTCTCGGCGTACGCCCGAAACTGCGTAAAAAGAGTCTGAGCGCTTGCTGAAAGTTTGGCCAGCGCTCGCTGAAAGAGATTGTTTGACTAGCGCTTGCAGAAAATTTTGTATTGATGCCCGCTTGCAGAAAACGCAAATACCGCCCGCTGAAGATTTGGCCACGCCCCGAAATCGTGCTGACCGCCTGCAGAAAAGCGCGAGTTTGCGGACCGCCTGCCCCCGGCGATTATCTGAGTACATGCCAATTCCCTATTCCCGTTGTATTAATAATCACCATACCCATCTACCCCCTGTGCCAACTCCCAGCCATACCATGCGGAAAAATCGATAAACTCGATGAAAATAATCGACAATCGCAAATACTACATTGCAGTGGCGTACCCAGGATTTCGGCTCGGGGGGGGGGGGGGGAGCGCGACAAAAATTTTTTTCTAATGAAGGTGCGTGGCTTCAGCCACGCACTCCGAAAAATTTTTTGGGATGTTTCCCAAAATTCTTCCGGGCCCCTGACCCCAAAATTCATTTTATAACACATTTAAGTAACTTTCAAAAATTTCGCGACCCATTCTCGGGGGGGGGGGCGCCCCCCCCCCCTCCCGCCCACCCCCTCGGTACGCCACTGCTACATTGTATTCATAATCTGCATGCTCGATGCCCCCCCCCCCCCTGTGCCAACTCCTAGCCCCGACAACCGCATGTTATTGATTGTAATCTATACTCACTGGGTTTTCTGCTTAGGTATGATAGTACTTGGACACTGGAAGTGACTGACAAGGAAAGGATACTTGGTGACCGTCGCCAATTGAAATGAAACGTACACCATTGAATGCATCTTGAAGCGCTGATTCCGAATCTGTCTTCTTTATCTGCTGTGCGCTCTTCCGAAAGAAGTTATGAGCATTTCTGGTCACCAAAATTTGCACTGTTTTTGATGCAGGTTTCGCCAATATCGCTAGAATGTTCGCTTACGCACTACAAAAGAGCGTACAGATAAAGTAATGCTTCACGTTAAGCTCAGAAAAACTGTCATCGAGACATCAGAGCCTAAAAAGCCTAAATACTGAAGATTTTTGCTGCTTAAATCTCGCAAATTCAAAATGTAAAGAAGCCCATAACTTCGTTTAGGGAGTTGCACAGCAGATAATGAACATAGAATTGTAATCAGCATTCCAAGACGCACCTACTGGTATACATCTCAGTGCAAAAGCCCACGGTCACCAAGTATCCTTCCCTCATGAGCTGAGCGTTGAGGTGAAGTCTTTTTCTATGAGCGTGTTATGCTCCCGTGGGCGCAAAGACAGCAGTCAAATCCATTGTCGCGATTTTATAAATGCTTACGTGCGACTCTACAAACTTTAGCTGATCAACTTTATAGGACCTCTCTCGGAGAACATTGTCTCGAGTACTCAGTCACCTTCGCAGGCAAAGTGTGATCTCTAAAAATCTACTCTTCATCGACACATTGGTCTTCAAGCAATATCAACGCTTGTTGGAATACCGACGGTTTGCAGATCGTTAGAAAAATGGAGAAGAGACTTCGCAGTCAAACAGTGAAATTTGTCGTAGAGACATCTGCGAAAAGCCTGTTTTGAAGTTGATAGTCCTGTCCTGTTCTGATATTGATACAACATATTTTATACAATGTTTGTTGACACATCCGCACTTTTACATCATGTGCGAGAACTTTAGCACCTTGCTTTCTTCTAAGCACTTTCGACCTCTTCCGGGTATAATATCGTGGAACTCCTGGATACAACCAGTCCAGCCAAGCGAATGATATTAGCACAGAAGTAAGATGCCGCGTCAGAGTTGTTTGGGGTGGTTGGCGCAGCTCTTTGCAGCGCACAATCAGCCGTGAAGTAGACGCATTCTCCCTTCTTCAGAGCAACGTGTGGGTAACGTTCGTGCGTTCTGAAACCCAGACTGCACTAGACTGCCTCGTCGCTGCTCATGCCTGCCCGCTTGATAACGCTAAATTTCATCTGCACTGATATGCGAGAGGCCGAACGTTGTTACTACCTTTGTTCATTTGCAGACACACTTAATCGACTTTATCGAATCACAGTATTCCACATCAAAATGTGCTCGAAACATCCTCAATAATCAGGGGTTGTATGGCACAGTTGTTGCCTACAACTATGTTTAAGGATGTCCATCCTCATTCGCACGATAGTGATGTGTGTCTCCCATTATCATGCGTATCTCTTCTTTGAGAATAGCTATCATTTGTTTGTGTTTCGCTGATCAACTGCCAAAAAATCTATTTTCTTGTTATTTCGCCGAAACCAGCTGTTCATCGATCTTTTCCTCTTTGGGCCGGGTATTGTGCAGTTTTGCGCGTTCTTGTACCGCGAAAATACGTCGACTAAATTGTCCCATAACTTACTACGAGCAACTTACTGGAACTTTGTCTGATTTTCCTCGTTTGCACACTACCTTCTTCGGATCACCTTAGAACCTCACCTCGGCTAAGTACCATTAGGTTAAACTGACCGTGGGATTTAGCCAAATGGTCTTCTCATTGTTACTGAGCATCCTCAAGCACGGGAAGGTGGGCGTCTTAGATTCACCCAAGATGTTCTTCTGAATGACTCATCTTAGATCAAACATGAATGAGGGTTTGCTTCGGGTTTATATTTGGTCTAATTTTGGGTCGAACTTTTCTTTGACTGTAGGGGGAGGGCGTCACTTTGATTCGCATCATTTTTTTGCACTGTCTTCTGGCTAACCAGCCAGAAACCTACTTCATTCTACTTCTTAACACCACTCAGTGCTACTTTCCAGCTGAGCACTGTGGACTCGCTGTATAGCCGTACAAACTGCCACACTTTGGCAAGTTTAGCAGTTCTTACTAGTGGCGTATCGAGAGGGGGGGGGTGGTAGGCTGTGCCCCTTCCTCCAGAATGGGTCGCGAAATTATTGAAAGCTACTTGAGTGAATTATAAAAAGTGTGCAAGTGACTTCTCTGTCTTGTAAAGCTTAGAATAATTTTTGAAAATTTTGGAATTTAATCTAACCTTCCATAGGAATTTTTGGGATCTTCGGGTCCGCAATTCTGGTGAAACGGTTGTGGCTAATGCCACGCACCTTCATACAAAATTTTTTGTCCCTACCCCCCCCCTCCCCGAAGAGAAATCCTGGGTAGGCCACTGTTTGGAAGTCCAAACTCTGTTTGAATGTATTCTATATGATTGTTTGTCCTGAATAGAAAGACAGTTATTAAGACGATCTTCATGCATAGATTTTTGGTAGGGACTTTTACCAAGGACTACATTGCAATGGATCAGCACTGTTTTCAATAAGTTATACAACTCTTTAGTGAGAAGCTGCTGTTGGTGCAAGGGTTTGAGGCAGTGTCTCCGCCGAATTTCGTTTTCCTGAATTTCACCTTTTCGGAACCTTCTCGCCTCGCCTAAGGAACCCATGTCTGGGCTTTTTAGCGCTTGAAAATGGCAAAAACTTTGTGTGAAGCTTTCCACGTCCGCATCCAGTGGAGAACACGTGCACGTGGGCGGGGCGCGGAACGACGGAGGCGGGCGCAAAGACTTCCGGCGTATCTTCACTGAATGCGGACCTGGAAAGCTTCGGGAAAATTCCTTTTCGCCATTCTAATGCGCTGAAAAGCCCAGATATGAATTCCTCATAGCGAGAAATCCGAAAAAAGACTAGAAAACGAAATTCTGCGGAGACATTGCCTTTGAGTGGATAGATGTAAGTTAAAGAGCTAGTGGAAAGTGGACAGATGTAAGGTTGATTGGAAGTAGAATATTCTATAGCTGAAGGCTTACCTCTGAAGTTATTTACGTGTTCATCGACCTATCGATTCTTTGCAAACTCTGAGCTGGAAAGTTGGGAGTGAAAGAAGTTGGGACCTCTAAGTACGTAATCTTAAAAATTATCTATTGCTTTTGGTTTATCTCGACTTTTGCAAACTTTAGGCTGAGATTTGGGAGTTGGTATAAAGGGAGAGTGAGCATCCTAATTTTGGAATTGTGAGGTGTGTCGTCTATCGTAAAAGAGATTATCCATATTTTTTTCAGATTCTAATTCATAGCGTTCAGACCTGATAACAGATAAGTAGTGTGGGGTTAACTGAATATTCTGTTCACATCAAGAAGAAACGTTTAACCTTTTTAAACATCGCTGCCTCAAATTTCTTGAGTTTTGCTGTTTTTGCTGGAGAAAGTTCAATGGTACAGGGAAGTAGGTCAGCGAAAAAATTGCAAACAAGTTGCTGACGATTAATCTATTTGGTTACTAATTTCAAACTTTTTGCCGTTAGGAATGGTAACCGCAGTCGCATTAGATGGAAATGGTTTGAAATGGGGGCAATATAAAAGGGAGCATACTAGTTAGACCAAATGTGCCAAATTATTTTAGAAGTATCTTCGAGCATCATTGATCTTTATTGAGCTCTTACCAAACTAGATTTGTAATTGCGCTTGGAACTTCTTGACACAGCGCGGAAATACATCAATACCAACAATAAGCTTCAAACAACTTGTCTTGTTTCAATTGCGACGGCAGAGAGTATGCCAACCAGAATAATATCCCGCAGAAAACACAAAGTACTGCTCATCGAACACCATTTTAGGTCAGCGAGGGTGGGAATACAATTGTGATTTCGGTTGGAAAGGCAAGTGATCTACTCCGTAAGAAATACTACTGCGGTGATTGGAAGGTAAGCACAAATAACAATTCACTCTTCGAAGTTATTACTTGATGAACACACAAGAACATCATTCAGAAATAGCAAAGCTATAGTAAAGCTGTTTAATTATAAACAGCTTTGCTACAGCTTGCAGGTGAGGAAGGCTTCTAATAAACATCTCTGCGAGCTATGACTTCACTGCTGGCCGTGTCAACTATAACAGAAAATCGTCGAAGTTGAACTCTTGCCAAAAATTGTTATCTTGGTAGCTCTCCGTAACAAGATTAGGGATGTACAAAATGATCTTGAAATCACGTTTACTAACGTCTTCAGGTGTAGTGCTGCAAATTTAACCAAACTTTTGCCCAGAAATCTCTCTTCCTAGAAAGGCACTTGACTTGCGCTTTTCTCAGTGATGCTTATTAAACAGTTTTTAGGTCACATGCCAATCGCAGAATCACCTTACATCTGCCGATGCCGGTTGAGCGGGAATAATTAGAGGCACTCTGATTCAAACTGCCTGTTCACGTTCCATTTGCAATGCGCGCCTTAGAGTGGGAGTTCTTCGAAGCTACTTTTCAAAAACCGCGAACATCGGAAGGTCAGAAGGAGCATCTAGAAGCTAGTCGCCCAATATAGTCCTACAACTCAGCTATCCCAATATTAGGCCACTTTAACCTAAACAAACGCACTTCGTTCACTAAGCCTGGCAAATACAGAGAGCATTTTAGGAATCGGTATCCCAAGGCATTTACCATGGTTTACGTCTTGTTACCTTAATTTCACGCGTATAGGACGCAGGAGATTTTTTTCTAGAATCGAACAGCACAAACACGCCGAAGGACTTTGCGACCAAAAATATTTAAAGTGCTGCATATTGCCTGAGAGTATCGTGCGGCATAAGTCTCGTTTTCCGAAACACAACGAGGCAGTTGATCGCATGCTTGAAAAACCGAAAAGGTGCGTATACGCGTGAAATCAAGGTAAATAAGGCACTTCAAGTGATATGTCTTTCCTTGTTAGTAGCTATCACCATTCCTATCACTAGGGCATGGTCAGATTCGCAGAAACAACATGTTTTCGAACTTGTGTTGCAAAACGCAAGGTTGATAATTTTTTTTTCGCAGCTAACAAGGGGAAGATGTTTGGTGTTCGTGGTTGTTTGTAATGAGTTCATATCATTAGATGCGCTCTAAGAGCTCTAGTAATGCTTTAGAATGCTTGATGATAAACGCCCTGGTGATGCGTTTCGTGCAAAAGTCTGCAGGCCGATGCAGGTGTCCGTGCGGGTAATGTTAGTTAGGGATGTTTCAGATTGCAGCATTTGCTATGCTGCCTGAAACAGTTGTTGCAGCCAACGCAGTACTGTAGCACTTCAATGCCTTTGCATTGAAATGCAGCAGACTTACAATGGTCACCTACCGCACTTTGGCATTATTTTTAATCCATCGAGAGGCACTTAGTCAATATCGACAACTTTTCACGTTCATCGGTCTTTTCTAACTCAATATGCGTATTGCACAAGAAGCGCGCTACCTCACAGCTTCTTCAATTAGAATCATCTGCTAATTTTTAAGAATTTATGCGCATACAGTGGCGGCTCACACATTTATTCATTCACCAATGTCTCGCACACACGAAGAATTACATTTTGTTGCTGAATTAATGTCACTCTTGCATGTGGTCTGACAAGGGATGGATACTTGGTCGAAGTGGCGTTTCCATATACAATGTACTTTCGGTATCTGCAAAGCGCTTCTGGGAAGGGAGTTACGGAAACTTTTTGGTGCAAAAATTTGAAAGCGCCGCTGCAATGAAATACATCAGAACCTTAGTCCGTGAGCTTAAGTGGGCCCATGATTACCACATGGGCGTTTTACAGAACAAAGACCTTCAACTCAATCAAATCACGTCAATCATTATTCCTTTCAAGCGCCGGAAAGACCTCAACACCTACTTTTATCTCAGCTAAATCATTGAATTTTTACCTCAAAAAATCCTCAGAACTCCCCTTCCTGAAGCGCTTTGCAAATAACGAAAGCAGATTTGGAATCAGCGTTTGGAATACTCACAAGGGAGAGATCTTAAGGCCCGAAGTAAACCCCCCATCAGGGCATCTCTCTTGAGGCGGACCGGAGTTGATCTCACCGCGCCTCAGCACATTGCCAGGGGAGCGATTGATTTCGAGCAGATCACTTACTGGACGATCGCGTTTTCAACGATGGAACGTTTTTGCCATTTGTGCACTACTAGTCGAATGGATAAGACTAATGCATTTCAAGCGGCAGGGCCGTGGTTCGAGCGCGGCAGCGGCACAATTTTTGCTACTTGGCCTGGCGATCTTTGATAGCGGCCGCTGTCGAAAAAATCGATGATAGCCGCTATCAGAGATTTCACTAGGCGAACAACGTGATTAAACAAATACGCAGTATTTTGGAATAATATCAGGAAAAAATCACACTTGGCGAAGAATGAGTAGAAAAGTAAATTCATCCTTTTGTTATCTAAAGCGGTTTTTTCAAGAAAAACAGGCAACAAGTGCAAGAAAAAACAAAAAAAAAGTTTTTTCCGATTTCGTCGCGCAATCAGCTGTTCATCGATCCTCACTCACTTAGGCGCCCGAAACCGTGCAATTTTGGGAGTTTTGCACCGCAAAAGAACGTCATCTGCGATGTTTCGTAAGTTACTCAGGAGCAACTTACGGGGGTTTTCTCTGCGCTCTCCTCTTTAGCACAGTATTCACCCAATGTCGTCGGCCGGCTCATCTCCGATGACTCGGCAGGGAGGTGATCTCCCTACCGAGCTTCATCTGAAGCTCACCTGTAGGGTGACCTTGCATAGTTACACCACGGAAACGCGGAAAGTCCTCATCTCACCCGGCAAAACCTCATATGAGAGCCTCAGGGGAGATCATCTTCCGTGACCGAGCTTCACTACGGGCCTAAGTGACCCGGACCTTTTGAAACAAGGACTGAACACATACTCAGACAATCGTCGGGGGCAGGCGGGCACCGGAAAAGTAGATTGCTGATCTCTCGCACCCCGCTTGCGGATTTTTTGGAAAGCAATCAGGACTTTTCGGAAGACCACTTGCTGAGTTCTCGATTCCTTAGAGATTCAGCAATATATCTGCAATATAAGAGCGAAAAAAAATTCAACAGGCGGTCTCTCAAAAATCCGCTGACTCAGCAAGCGGTCTTCCGAAAAGTTCTGATTGCTTTGCAAAAAATCCGCGAGCGGGGTGCGAGAAATCAGCAATCTATTTTTCCGGTGCCCGCCTGCCCCCAGCAATTGTCTGAGTAGGTTCCTTCTTCCGGACTCATATTCGTGTTGCTATCTGCTGTGCGTCTCTGTGTAAAGAATTATGAGCATATCACCCCGAGTTCGCACGGCCTCTGCTAAGTGCGAGGATCGCACACTTTAGCGGCAGCGTTTAGCCTAGTAGTTGCAAGACTACTAGAACTGATAGACCCGTGCGTCCGATTCAATGTGTGAGCAACATTTTTGTCAATGCATGCATAATTCAGATCACGTTCGTTTGCAATGAAACTGCAAAAAACCTTTTACCGAAAATACAATCACTTCATCTGACCAAACAATATTGAAAGGAGAATAAATGTATGTCGTGCGCAAATGTGATGTTTACAGAAACAGAGGTGCCCCACTGAGCGCGGCGTAAAATGAACATACCATTATTACAACTTTCTTGCTCATTCGTAATAGATCACGCGCAAGTTTCAAACGACCCAAGTGCATATAGCCTCATCGTACCGTCATCAAAGCTTGTATGGACCTAAGCATACCGCTTACTTGCTTAAAATTACGTTCATTTCCTTTGTGAAACAATCATTCTCACTGAACTCTCACTCAAAACTCTCATTGCTGTTTTCTTGCGCTTTAACGCCAATTCTTCGTTATTATGAAAAGGCGCGATGTAGTAGATGCTTGGAATGTTTCTATGTTCGAGAAAGATGCGGGGAAAAAACGCAGCGCAGGGCCCAGGTGAGGCGGCGCGCTGGAACCGAGGTTTGAGTCAGGCTCACGTCAAACGAAACAGATTTACATGCTTAAACGAATGCTGAGCACTACTCTGCCACTCTTGTCGAGCTCTAATCTCGACATTGCGCCTACAAACTGCGCGCACTTAGTACACATGTGTTTGCATATCCAAAAATTACACTTTCTCGGATATATGTCTGATTACCGCATCCAGGAGTCTAGCTAGTCCCGCAAACTATGATTCTAGAATGCATTCGGATTTCCAAAATATCCTGTGATCGCTTCCTAAGTTCAGATAGAGGCAGTGCAGAGCAGGCATTTGATAATGTTGATGAACTTGCTCACCATTTACAAAGACGACTTTCGAACTATTTTGCCATCGAAGGTCCCTAAATAAATCTAAACATTGAGAATTGTGCCGTTAGTAGCTATCTATTCTGCAGTGAAGTGTGCTTCATTCAATAACGTTTTCAATCAGTGAAGAGTATGTAGAGCCCTACGTAATCGTGAGAGTCGGTGAGTTTGCTGCCATTGCTGCCCGCGCGTTGAGCTTTCTTAGTTATCTTTCTTCTTTCGACGTTTTTCTGCTATCAGATGTTAGCTTCCAATTACCTCAAACTATTTGAAGTCTCGTAGCATCCTTCGTGTGCAGTGGCCGTGAACTTATCGACTCTCGCGCTCATGCACAGCCCTATAACTGCTCTCCACAACATCTCGACCGTATCTCAGTTACGGCAGTGTAATACAAAAAAATTAGTTGGCAATGTGAGTATGAATCTCTCCTCCTTCACCTTTAACTCAAAGCGTGGCGGTTTCTGATACTAAAAGACTTTCAGAAATGCGAGAATCTTCAAATTTATCAACGCTATCGAATACTGCACTGCTGCATTTCTATTGAAATCGGAAGTTGATGATGTATGGAGGCACGCTCCACCTATATCAGCCATAATCTATTGTTTGTTTACAAATGTAAAAGTATGTGCAACACTAGTTCACACCAAATTGTTGAGATATTTGGTCAAGACTTTGGGAGTCCTGGCAACTCTAGCCTTGATTTGCAGCATTGTATTTACGGGACGAGTGGCGTAGTGATATGAGGCGCCGCTATGACAAGATCGGACACAGGTTTGATCCCGCCCCTGGGCACCAAACCCTCTACCCTTCGGGGCCGGTAAATTGGTATTAGAGTAATCTGGGAGGATAAAAGCACTGAGTTGGTAATCGGCTGGCCCCCGCAAGTCCATGTAAAGACCCGCACGCATACAATTGCCTCTTCGACTTTGAAGAAGTGTGCGTTCGGGGCAGTATGTCCGCAGAGGGTATTGAAGGCGCCGAATGCTTTATCCTTTATCCTTTACTCTTTATTATCTACCTGTGCGTCACTATGTTTCGCAGGGGCTTCCACTGGTTCTACCAACTACAGGGTGTCCCAAAAAATGTTTAGAACGTTTGATCGTTAATATCTCTCTTCCCAAGAAGTCTTTTGCCTTGCTTCAGGTACCGTTTTGTAGAGCTGGCTTCAACTTAGATTTGCATTACAGAACGAAGTACCCATCTCTCTTCATTACTGTAGGATTACGGTAGAAACTTGAAACATATAGTGTCAATGTGGAAAAAGCTGCCGTTTCAAAATTTTTCAAAAAACTGTGAAAACTTGTGTAATAGGGTTTTTATAGACGCTGAGTTCAATGCTAAACTATTCACAAGATTACGAAGCTTTCTAAACGGTTTAATCGCACTTTTTAAGAACATTGAAAAAATGGCCGCTACCTCTTACCTGGCATAACTCTTCAATGAAGCATCATAACAAGTTGGGAACTTTACAGTTGTAATTAGCAACTCTAATTAGCCTAGTATAAAAGTTTTCAGGCTGTTTTGTTTCCTTTCTGAAGCAAAATATGGCCTTTCATGGCTCAAAACCCTCTTTGAAGTTCCTACCGTAATCCTACAGTAATGAGAGGAGACCGGCGATTCGCTCTATACTGTAAATCTAAGTTGAAGCCAGCTCTACAAAACGGCACCTGAAACAAGGCAAAAGACTTCTTGGGAAGAGAGATATTAACGATCAAACGTTCTGAACATTTTTTTGGACACCCTGTATATTTACTCCTTGTGCTCGCATATTGAGCTTTGAACACCGCGCAATGCTGAGGAACATGAACGAATTGTAAACAAATGATTACCCCAGCGAATTTCTGAATGGAAGATCTGTACCTTTGGAAAAATGAGGGTTTTCGGCAGAAGAAAACGCGAATTTGAATTTCCCAAAAAAGTTATCATGATAGAGACTACAAGGAACCACCGTGTGCTACATCTTTGAATGAAATCTTTCCAAACTGAGAAATTCGAGGATTCACTTATCTGGCTCCAATTCTAAACAAAAATAAAGTTTTGGAAGCTTTTTTTCACATCCAAATTCTATGGACAGATTTGCATGTGACAAATCCATAACTTTGCAAGAACTGGTGATTACAGATCCACTCCTGTGGGTCAAAAGCCCTGGGTATCCGCTTGGCAGAGCAATTTAAGAATCCTCTCATCGGATTCTCTCCTGCTTTTGTACGGTGCTCTTTCATGCCGGTAGCATGTGTTATGAAAAAATGGGCCTAAGACGTCGGCTACACACTCTACGAATTTTATAATAGACGCACAAATCAAACATTCTTAGCCTGTTGTTTTGAGTATCAAAGTTCTAGGTAAAGTTTCCTCCAACAACTGCGGATTTGAACACCAACCTCACGGACGACGACATTTTCCGCATCGGCATATGGTGCTACGACAAAAATCCGTACGTCTACGCCGAGAATTTCGACGCACTCATTACTTCAGGTGCACTTGAAGTACATTTGAAAGACTTGGAGGGACATATCTTCCCGTATGTTTGTAAATTTCAAGATTTTTGTATTGTTTTTCAAAAGATATTCAGAGTGGAGAATGCCCGAAAAACCATAAACATTACTAAAAGGGATCCAGGTGAGTTCGATAATATCAGGTATAGTGGAAAATTATAACGACAGACGTTGCAAAGCAGACATATAGCCAGGGAATGACGTTTTGTGCCAAAAATAACTCTGATGCAAATGGCATCAATCCTTTTCCCATCACTTTTAATCTATTCGTTTGACATCTGCCAAGCCTACGCTGCTGTATATGTTCCAGCACTTGCCTCGCCTTTCTCGACCACCATATACAAACCTTTTGAAAGCTACCAGATCTTGGACATCCATACATTCCAAACCATCGCATGGAACGTCTCCATTTTCATTGAGGTTTTGAACGAGAAGTATCTAGATTTTTCTACGAGGGAAAGTTAAGATTCGCCCAACGATGGTACAAGATTTCGATAACAAAGAGGCGTATGTCTTCCTCAGCTACCAAAGATTACCGGGTCCCCTCTCCCACGATCACAGTTTCATGTACCACTTGGACTACATTGACAAACACAGTGAGCGCATTGCGGTCCGCGTTTTGTGTCGAGCAAAATGCGCTTTTTAGGCACCAACCACATCCATGTGCCAGCGAATCACCTCGTAAACAAAACCGGTCTGTTTTACCTCGGAATTGGCGTAGTAGACACAACTGGACAAAACTGTGTACACTTTGATCCACCATCTGGAATCTCAAGTGAATGGTGTTTTGTGAGAGGTATATTACTGTTGCACCTCACCATTTTTGGTTAATCACGATGGCTGCGAATTGTGAATGTTTGCAGATATCCGTTTTGAAATTGCGGTTAAAGCGATGACGAAAGGCTGCTATCGTTTTGAAAATGACACTCGGTTTGGGAACAGATTCATCGAGGTAAAGCATGCGACGACGTAAAATTCTCGTTTGCGCAACATAACCTACATATGAGAGTGAGAAGACAGAACGCAGATAATGACCATTGCAAAACACATTGTAAGTTAGGGACGCTCAGAATTTGCCGAAAAGCTCTAATAAAAAAGGCCTTAGAAGCCTTGATAGGACCCAAAAGGGCAGAAACACCCTCTCGCGCGCAATTCTTAGCTCTAGAGCGTCAACTTTAAAAGGTTTTTAGATTCTGAAAGATTACAATGGTTACACGCAACAATATTTACTACGATTATGTTTCGATTAGGCTTCATGTTGGCTCAAATTCCAAAATATAATTACACTTACCTTCTCCACAATTGATTGCACTTCAACACATGTGATTAGCTTCTATGTAAGCTTAATCTGATTCAGTCGCCTAAAGAATGTATCTACATATATACATCTGCATATATATAAAGAATCGTAAGCGCAATTCAAAAATGTGCACATAGCGGGAAAGGGTGTAGGGCGTTAGGCGACAAACCCGATTTTTGGACCCCAAATAACTCCCCGTGCAAAACGTCTCCTCCGCCAAAAACAGGGGGGTGGGGGTCGGGGCCGATACATTACTCGACGCCATCAAAAAAATTGCACATAGTTTTGACTTACGGGCTTTACGTTAATTGCGTTTTGCACGTTTTGTCGCCTAACGCTTGCCCTCCAGCGGGAAACTGCGGCGCGGTCTCGAAGCTCTTGCCAATAGCACCTTTAGATTGCTGGTTCACTAGTCTACATATATACATCTGCATCTACATATACCTACTGAGCCGTATGTAATCGCATAACGAACGAACATTCTCAGATTCAATTTCTGGAATCTGTATACTGGAATTGTATCCCCACCCCAAAACCACAAAACCATCGCTTTGACGCTAAGGCTTTGATGACTGCTCTTTTACAAAATATGAAGGTCCGGCATTAAACACATTGCACAACTTGCGCATCCGTTTGCCACCAAGCTTTTTAATCTAAACGAGGGATGACAACTTTGTGTGTTTAATGCAGTGTCCCGGCAAAATTTCGCTCTTTGGTTTTCCATCTTCTTGGAACCCTATCGCCATGCTAAAGCCATATTTGGGCTTTTCAACTCTCAAAAACGGCAATAATAAGCTTTTTTCGAAGTTCTCCATGTTCCGCGTTCGCTGCAAAATACGTGTAAGTGGGCGGGTCCGAGACGAGTAGGGGAGTCCAGAAAATCCCAGCCCGGATTTTGAGTTTTCCAGACGCGTTTTTTGCCCCGGACTTCACTGATAGGTTGGAGGGTCTGCCATGGCAACATAGTAAAATTCCGGTACTCATTTTGCTGCGACGCTGCCTTCAAAGGCACCGTTCACCCTCGATCAGAATTTTGAGTTTTTGACAGCGTAAGATAGAGGGACATCCCATCAAGCCAGTGCCCAAGTCGCAAAACGTCTCTTCCGAAGCGAGAAAATCGCTCCGAAATAAGGAGAGGCACGAGGACCTCCAAATGCCCCTCCCCTTCCCCCTTTTCAGTAATGCCCGCCCATTTGCGCTTGGCATTCAATCTTTAGAGGACCCGTTTACCGGATCTCCGGAACGGGGATTGTTAGGGGGGGGGGGGTTTCGCGGGTTCTCAACTTCGCATTCAGAATCAGGGACATGAGAACGCGCTGAAACGACAACGTGGAAGTCGAGATTCTAGGTGGACGGTGGCTTTCAGGCCATCAAGCCATCTAAACAATGTGCTCAATGTTGATGTCCCGGTGTCAAATTGCGCGCGAAGAGCGAGGTTTGTTGAGGCCAAAAAAAGAAAATGCCAGATTATCTAACTCATAAGAATTTGGAGATTACAAGTGGTATTACGCTTCGATTTGTTCGCAGTAAAAGGTCCAGTAAAATATATATGTAACCACTACAACTGTGTTGTTATAATTTCCACTATAGATTGGGAGTTACCTTGGCGACACTACCATCGAGTGTGAAACCACTCACCTTAGCATCTTCTCTGTGGGACTGTTTAATCTTGACGTGGACACTGACTTCAAGTACCAATACATTGCGGATCATCGCGAGGTACAAGAATTTCTCATCAGTTTCTACCAATAAACTCAATGCATTCAGCAACATATCGCTTCAACTATGATCGTAATCGTGATGACAGTTCACATGCTCATCGTAATGATATTTGCGATCAATTACGAACTTATGGAAGGTGATCAGGTGGATACACTCTTTTGACGCATTACGTTTATGTTTTCAGAATTAACTTGTGTTTGACCATCTCTTCCACAATGACTATGTATCAAATCAGCGCTATCAGTCCTTTAAAGGCAGTTGAAACGGTGCAAAGCTGAAGAGAAAGGGTATCAAAGAGACCTCCTTCCCCACCCCTTCCGTCCAAATTTGCGCAATCCAATCAATTCTCAGCAATCACAGGGTCAAGAAGTTGAAGACGTCAAAACGGGTCGTTTGAAAATTGCTTCCACTCTTTTCTCGAGAATCACTTGTTCTCAGAACTAAATCACCACGCGACTGTCGAAAAAATATTCCGACTAATAAATTACACTTTCTAGAAAAATGGAGATCCCTGTTTTAGCGGAAGATATGAAAAACAAAGACGAAGCAAGTAGGCTTTGCAGATATGATCAAGCTGAAAACGAGCATCTCTAGAGCAAATAGATAAACTGTTACATTCAGTTTTTTGACACACAAAAAGTTCAAGCGTACAAATGCGCTTCTCCTGCTCAGAGGTTTGATGGTTGATGCTTGCAAATAATTACTGATGATTATCGATACTCGAATGTCCCCCAGCTCTTCCTATGTGTACACTTGTCATTACTTGTTATTTTTATTGAATCTTGGTAAAGGGGATTTAGTCGAATACTTTCTTACTTTATGACTCGCTTTTATTTGCATGAAATTTCAAAGAAGGTAAACGTACATTCCGCAACAATTGAGATTACAGTTGGTATCATTAGCTTTAATGCATGTGAAAAAGGATCCTTTTGGTTTTCGAACAAGATTTAAAATGTTATCTTTTTTTGAGAGAAAATACGAGGAAGATTATCTTGACGGTCTTCTTATCTTTGAACCAGGGCCAGGGCCCGGCACGAGTCAGTTTCTAGGGTTTCTGTAAACGAAGTCTCCCCTGACTTCCGGAAGTTCCACGAAATCCCCTTTGACCTACCTGCTTAGGAGGATGAAAAGAAGAAAGATCTACTAGTCTGAAAGAAAAGACGTAAGATAAGAGTGAAAATCCAAATTGGAGCTGAATACTACGCATGCACAAGACTTTGGCATCAGACCGCGATATTTAACAAAGGCGAGAAAAAATGAAGGCAAAAAACAAAGGAAAGGTAATGATATGAAATTGTCTTCATGCTCAGGGATAGATTCTTGACCCGCTCAGATAATCGCCGGGGGCAAGCGGCGATGCGATTTATGGGCAGGCGGGCACCGGAAAAATAGTTTGTTGATTTTTTGCGGCCCGCTTGCAGAAATTTGGAAGAAAGTTGGCGAAATTAAAGACGAAAGCTTGAAGAACAATCGCGGTTTCTTTATGGATTAGCTGCGGCGCGGTGGCCGCATTCTCGCGGACTTTCCGCGAGAATATGCAAAAATTTCGAGGGCCGCACGGTCCTTTGTGGAGGACCGCTCAACCCTCAGGTACTTTCCGCTGAGAGAAAGTACCTCAAACTTGAGTAACTAAACCAACGGTGACACCTCTGCCACACAGAGTCTTACCTGCGCTCGACGTACGCCCGAAAATGCCTAAAAGAGTCCGAGCGCTTGCTGAAAATTTGGCCAGCGCTCGCTGAAAGAAATTATTTGCGGAGCGCTTGCAGGAAATTTTGTATTGCTGCCCGCTGGCAGAAGACGAAAGTACCGCCCGCTGAAGGTTTGGCCACGCCCCAAAATTCTGCTGACCGCCTGCAGAAAAGCGCGAGTTTGCGGACCGCCTGCCCCCGGCGATTATCTGAGCGGGAATCCGTCCATGCTAAAAAGATCCGAAACTTATGTGAAGTGATGAAAATATATGCTCCAGACGATTTCAGATCGTCTGGTGGCCGTCTAGAGACGATCTAACTTTGGAAAAGGTATTACTTCACATAAGTTTTTAAATCTTTTTACATAATCTTTCCGCAAATAATTTTTTAAGTATACAGTTCAATTTTGGTGTCATATGCTTCTGTGTGCGCTGTAAACAAGCAATTTGTTTATTTTAGCCTGGCTTTCAAATCGCGCGCATTTTAACCATACACGATAGAGCATGTCAATCGTGTAATAACCTGTCCGGAAAGCTTATTCGACTAAATGGTGCTTATTCTTGGTGCTCGGTCCCGACTCGTCAAAAACGATATCCCCTTTGCTGTTTGCTTCAAAACGAAGTCCAGTCTGCTTCCAGACGATCTGTGCCGGGCCCTGACCAGGGCATTCTTTCCTTGGTGATTGAAAGTTGCAATTAATTTGCTATGCCGTACAGGTTGTTAATGGTAATGCAACTTTATTGCCTCATGTTTCGGAAGGACGCCGTCTTCAGGAGCTGAAAAGGTGTCCGTCACAATGAAATACGTTCTCAGGGGTGGACCAGACAGCGGACGCACGCGGTGCATGCGACGTACGCAGCTTACACACACGTGCATAAAAATATGGGACAGGCTGCTTACGTCGCGCCGTCTGGCCCGACAGTCAGCCCGACAGTCAGCCGCCAAACATCTCCTCCTCTTTGCCACTCAGTACTTACTGGAAATACAGAGTTTGAAAGAAGCTGTTGCAAGTGTATCGCTCTTGTTGTAGCTCGTAGCCACTCGCCTGTTGTGACTGAAAGCGAAATGAGCAACTAAGATGATACAATGCTGCTTAAATACAGGCAAACAGTCTTATAGCGAATGATATATATGGCAGTAGGTCACTTGTATTAGATGATTTTTTCATTCTTACTGCTTAGTTTCGGCCGAGCAAGAGTATAGGCTGCCTCTAAGGCTTTTAGTGCAGAAATCTGTCAGTGTCATAAGCTAAAATGTTGCACCTAAACTCGTAATCAGCACCTTCATGTTCTATCACACTATGTTTTCTCAAATTATCCTGCTTTGCCTTCTTTTGCTGGCTAACAAGGGAAGGTGTATGACTCGCAGTGGAGTTTCTCTATGAGATGTATGTCATTCGAAAGGTCTTTGATTGCTGATTTCAAAACAATCTTCCTTATCTGCTTATCGGTTTACTGAACAAAGTTACAGACAATTTTCCGTCTCCAGTTTGCATGGTCATGCGAATTTGGTCCAGAGTTAGACGCCCAAATGTCTGAGATATACTTATTGTACATAAAAAAATTGATGGAAGTAGTTTTGATCTACTCTGCTGCCTCAGTCCTGCAAAAAGCAACCAAAATCAGTACCATTTGAAGCCAAACAAATGCCTGTAACTTTGTTTAATGAACCGATAAACAGTTAGGGAAGTTTGTTTTCAAATCAGCACTCAAAGACCCCTCGAATGATATGCATCTTATAGGAAAACTCTACTGCCAGTCATATGCCTTTCCTGTTAAGTGACTGCGGCTGCTACACAGCTGTCCAAACGAGAACGGCGAAGATCGCAGCATTAGGTAATGCTCAGATCTCGCTAAACACCATTGACTTCCTGAGCTTGGTACCTTCCCTTGCACCTGCTAAAATATACTGCAGCGTTTTAGGTTCATTACTAAAATTGAGAGATTAGCTTTGGTCCAAGCTAAGGCATAATCAAGCGCAACTCAGCAATTTTTAAAGTAGACGACGGACGTTACCAACGATCCCACTTTAATCGTATTCTACACGGAGCCTGAACCTTGCTGCGGCTAGCATCAAGTTCCGAATATTGTCATCTAGCATATTGAAAGTTCTTAAAGGCAGCGTCCATGGACATATGGGGCTCTCACGTGGATAGTAATCTTGGGGCCCTAACTAAGCCACTGCCCAAGCGGCAGCGAGGATGCACGCGTTGGGCCATGAATTCATGCGAAATACGATTCCGGGGTCCAGTTTCGAGGGGAATATCTCAGCCGATAGAGCATTACCTGAGCAAGAAAGGCTAGCTTTAGTGAAAACAGCAGCCCAGATCAAGAACTCAACACGTTCACCACAATGCGACCCATCGGTGGGTCGTAAGTGCTGCCATTTCGGACAATACGACTCACCGGGTGGTATGCTGGGTGGTATGCTTTCTGAAGTTTTTGATTTTGCTAATTCTGAAACTTTTTAGATAAACCAAGTAAACTTCTGCATATACCTCTGGAGTACTTCCCAAAAGATTTACGCTTCAGACCACATCGTCCATCAGTGACCTGAAAATATTCCGCAAACTCAATTTTGTGAAATATGCTCTGATCCAAAATGGCAGTCAGCGAAAAATTGGCCCTGTCGTGAATGTGTTAAATGGATATTACATGCCATCCAGAAATCGGAAAGGATGCGGCAAAGGCAGGCAAGCAGGTTATCAACAACATACCTTTGTGCATGCCTTTCATATCCGCAAAGGTGCCTGCGCGATAAAACAACGCCTGATACAAGCACAGCCAGACGAAAATGTTAATTTAGTGAGTGTACCAAGAGATTCCGCAACAGGTTATGTGATAAAGCCTGTTTCTCACGTGATTGCACAGTCTGCCCGTTCTGAAAAGTTTGAGGTTGTGCGAAATCTGGCTTCATTTATGAAATTTGAAGCATAAGGTGTTCTGCCATTTGTATAGGTGAGACTGACAGTTAAGTGTAAAGGGCCGGGCGTACTTCGCGATTTCAGTCGCGACGCGATTTGGCAATATTCCAACTGTTCATAACGCACTGTAAGCACATTTCAAATGCACAGAAGATATGGCATTTTATCAACCCACGTAAGATATACACACTACGCATGTGCAGTTTGCTACTGTTGGAGCTGGAGACTACTGGCGAATTGCCAAATCGCGTCGCGACTGAAATCGCGTGAAGTATGCCCGACCCTTAAGGGTCAATGAATATTTGGTCAATTAAAGAAAGGCAAAGCACAGTGAGTCCAGTGAGAAAGCCTGGTGTGATAGAAAATGAAAGTGCTGGTTATGACGTTAGGTGCAAAATTCTAGCTTAGACATCAGATTTCACAAACGCGTTAGGCCCCGGACAGACTTCACGCGATTTGATCGTCGCGACTCGATCGCCCGACATTTCCATTCATTTTCATTTCACATTCAAAAATTTCGGGCTGGAAAA